AACCACGCTAGTTAGGCTAACGGGTTGGTAATTCTCAGGTTTGTGTTTAGCATCTGTTTTGAAGACAGGACTTACTATGGCGTTCTTCCAGTCTTTTTGTAAACGACCCTGCGTTACGGATAGGTTAAAGCATGTACTTAAAAGGTTCGCAACGAAGTTAGATAGTTCCTTCAGTAGCCTGGGATGTAATTCATCGGGCCCCGTGAATTTCCCTATGTCAAGCTGATTTAGCAGACCAAAGACATCGAGTTCTTTAATGGTCACGCTATCCAGTGTATGTGTGGGGATCTGTGCGCACTGATGGGAAGGGTGCTTCTATGGTGTATACATTGCTGAAGTAGTTTGAGAACACTTGAGCCTTACCAAAGTCGTCCTCCACTAGTGACGTTTCAACTGAGGACTCTGGGTCTATTGTCCAATCTACTAATGATGTGGAGTATATGATACCTGATATATTGGCTTTCCAGACGTTAGGTCTGGATTGGGCTGACATATGCTTGTGACTGACAGTTATATGGAAGTCATTTTCTTATTTTCATATTACAGTCACCCAACCACCTACCTGGTAATATGATAGTTGTTGGTATCCAGGACTCTTACTGCCCTGAGACAAACGCGCTCAATCGAACTACAAGATATCAAAATCCACAAATAACTACCAGACTGATTCGAACTAGTAGATGTGGGTGGTAAGACTACTAACTACTTAACATTGCCAAATAGATTCATATTCAGATTCAAATTTGTGTAGTAAGGACAGAAGGCCTACGGCCTATGTTATTCCTTTTCTAGTATGCTTCTGTGAGTGTCCAGTCTTCTCTTGAAAGAGTCAATTGAAGGTGCAGACACCACTGCTTCAGGCAGCAGGTTCCAAGTATTGATGACTCGGTGTGAAAACCTGTATGCCACGGGTATTTTGCTCGTTCTTGGCTTTTCTACTCGCCTGCTATGTCCTCTGAGGTGTCCCGATCTAGTGGGAAGAAAGAGAGAGAATAAGCTAGGTCCGAAATCATTTCTCAGTATTCTGTACGTCAATATTAGATCTCCCCTTAGTCTGCGATAGGACAGAGTAAAGAGGTTCAGTTTTTCAAGCCGCTCTTTATATGATAAACCCCGGAGTTCCGGAACTACACGCGTAGCTGCCCTCTGTACCTTTTCTAGTATGTCTGAGTCACCTTTTAAACAGGGGCTTGCAGCCTGAACACAGTTTTCTAACTTTGTTCTCACTAAGGATGTGTATGATGTGGTGAACGTGGTAGTATCAAGCTTAGTGAATGTCCTTTTTAAAGCCCAGAGGGTTCGAAACCGCTTAATTGCGACCTCCCGGCAATGGGCCGTCGTCTTAAGATCATTGCTCACTGTCACCCCTAGGTCCTTATGAGACCGGACTACGGGTAATGACACATCCCCTATGTTGTACGTATTAACCTTTGAATCCCCCAAGTGCATGTAGACACACTTTTCCGAGTTGATAGGCATCAGCCACTCTTTAGACCAGTTTATCATATTATTTAAGTCCGCCTGAAGAGTAAATGCGTCTGTCTCCAGTTATTACTCGCCAAATTTTTACATCGTCAGCGTATAATAACATTGGAGACTGTACTATACTTGTAAGATCATTAACGTACATTATAAAAAGTAAAGGACCTAAGACGGAACCTTGGGGTACTCCACTAAGTACTGGTCTCCAAATGGAGCACTTGGAATTTATTCTTACTTTTTGCCTACGACCTACTAGGAAATCCTTAATCCATTTTAAAAGAGGTCCGGCAATACCAAGGTTTGCCAACTTCAATAGCAGTCTATTAGTTGGCACCTTGTCAAAAGCCTTACTGAAGTCTATGTAGACAACATCCACTGAGTTTCCGTTGTCTAGTGCATTAATCCAGAGCTCCCTAGCTATAAGGAGGTTCGTTGTACAGGATAGACCCTTTCTAAAACCATGTTGTGCCATGTTCAGCAAGTTATTGGTTTCTATAAATGCCGTTATGGTCCGTTTGATTATTCTTTCCAGTATTTTAATTACAACAGTGGTGAGGCTTACGGGTCTGTAATTCGATGGAACTTGTCGTAGACCTGTTTTATGTATGGGAGTGACGATTGCGTCCTTCCAGTCCATAGGTAACGCACCTTGTTCAAGTGACATTTTGAATATCACAGTCAATGGGGCTGCGATATATTGGGCAACATGTCTCAAGATTTTAGGGTGTAGTTCATTTGGTCCTGTTGACTTCTCCATGTTTAGGGTGCTAAGAGCCTTAAGCACATCTTCTTGGTCGAAGTCCACGGTGAGCAGCTGGTTTGTTGACTCTGTAATTGGGTTTGGTTCTTTCTCTAGAGGAGGTTCCTGAGTGAAAACTGCCCCAAAGTAGTCAGCCATATCCTCATCTTTTTCCTGATCCTCCTCTATCATTTCAGATTCACTTCCTACTTTAATTAGGTTGGGAATCCAATGATGAATCCTTGTTCTGTAGTTTATGTACGAGAATATCCTCTTGGGTTGCTTGAGTGCAGATTCTGCTAGCTGCATTTCATATTTTCTTTGCGCTTCCCGAATTTTAGTTATACACTCCTTTCTTATCGATCTATAGCGTTCCATCGTACCTGCTGTGCCAAGGCGGATGACAACATCCCAGCATTTCTTCTTTTGTCTTAGTAAGCGTCGAATATCCCGCCCTATCCAGGGATGTCCGTGCTTCTTTTTCTTTGGGACAGTCCAGGGTATGTATGGTTGAGTTACCCGACTGTATAACTGCCTGAATAGAGTCCACGCCTCTTGTACTGATGCCTTTGAGTCAATTTCCCAATTCTCAGACGATGCTGCGGAGTTAATTGCCTGTACATCTGCCTTCCATATGTTGGGACGGGCCGGTGCAACTGTTAGGCAGGCAATCTCAGCCATGAATTTGAATAAGATGACTGCATGGTCACTTCTCCCAAGTGGTGGGAGAAAAGCCAGTTGACCAACGTCGTCACCGTGTGTGAAGACTAAATCTAAAAGAGAGGAAGAGTTTCTTAAGTCGTATCTTGTGGGATCTCTAATGTGTTGGAATAATGCTAGTCCAATGGAGGTTTCTAACAGTTTGGAGTCGAACGACGATATGGATGACCCTACTTCTAAGTTAACCCAGTTTATATGTGGTGCATTAAAGTCGCCTACTACAAGGCTTTTACCGTTGTTACACCAGGACTTAAGTTTACTAAGGAGAAAATCATCTGCTACACATTCTGCACTGCGATAAACTACAACTGCTTCAATATCTTGCCTTCGGCATTTCAACTTACATCTCACCAGTTCACATGTCCCTGAAACATGTGCTACTGTCTCAGCTAATCTTATGGTTAGGGTACTTTTCGTGTACACAATAACCCCGCCTCCCCTTCGGTTTAATTTATCAGTCCTACTGGTTATGAAACCAGTCAATTGGATTTCACTATCTAATACTTCTGACGTTAACCAAGTTTCCGAGACAGCGATAACGTCCGGTTTTTCTTTATCCACCAATGACATCAGCCCCGCCATTTTATTTAGTAGGCTGCGAGCATTTGTGTAGCACACTTTTAAGTCTGTGGAGAGCTTTCCCTTGCCACCCAGAGTGGCTTGGGGATCGTTTTGCTCCGAACTTTTACAATCTGAAAACCCTTAAGAACGAGGTTTCTTTCACCGTCTCGGCGACGCTCGTTTATTTCCGCTTCTGCAGCTCTTCTCTTAATACGATCAGCTAGGCTGAGGTCCTCACGGACATATATTCCGGATCCAATCAGTTTACGTGAATTACTTAGAATCAGGTTCCTTTCTTCCACTGTGTTAAATGTAACCTTTAGGAGGCAGTTTTTCTGAGGACTTTCGGAATCCACCTTTTTTCCTATTCTATAAAGCTTACAAATACTAACTCCTGAAACTGTATCTGGGAGTTTATTTAATGATGTCTTTATATGATTGAGATCATGTTCAAATCTTGCCTTTGGTTCAGTATCTGAAGATTCTCTTATCTTATGAAAAGTGACTGATCTATCAGAGAGATTTGTCTTGTCACGCGGTGAGGATTTTTCTTCTGACAACATCCCTTCCAATGTCTTGCTGACCAGCTGCGTTTTGCCTACAGCCTTTTTCTTCTTATTATTTTTCTTCTTACCGAAGTCCATTTGTTACTACTCAGAACAGCCACACCTGGACTATGTGAAACGGTGACAGTTTTATCCGGATCTTCTATTTCGACTAGAGGTGTATGACTGCCGATGTCAATATCAAGCGACACTTCATTCCTCGTTAATGTCAACGGAGATTTCACGTTCCCGTCAACCGCAGTCAGGTGTTTAATGGGTCCAGTAGCAGCACTTACTACACTGATACATTCTTCATCGTCAGTACTCCTGTTATCAGTGCTTCTGCCATCGTTTTTCTTGCAGGCCAAAGCCAATAAGCCCATAGCCTCATGAATTAGTACCTTTTTATCCGTACAGCAGAACATACAAAGCCAATGCGAATTAGGCTTCGAGCATCTTTTGTAAGCCGTCGGACTTAGTCGTGTACACATTTTGTGATACCACTTTTTACAATCGTCACACTACATTCCCTCCTCAATGGAGAACAAACAATTTGGTTGCCCACATTTGTGAGTCTTACCAACCATTGTAATTCGATTTAAAAGGTTTAAAAACACAAAATGATCACAATGTGAACACAAGTGTTAGTCTAGGAGTAAAAGAAGGTATCTAGGACAAAATTTAGCAAAACATTTCAAACTTTAACCAAAGAACTCTTAGTTAAAGTAGACCGAGAATGCTTTTTAGTGCAATAAGTACCAAAAGCAAGTATAATCACAACAAGTACAAAAATCACTGCCCTGGAACCTCGCCGGACTAACAATATACGAGCGCAAAGAAGTCAATCGGCTTATACAAGCTTGCGACAAAGGTATTAGAGATATTGGAAATGAGTGATAGCAAATGAAATTTGAAGTTTATGAACTTCAACCCTATAGGGTTGTGGCGCTGGCGTATGTTTGGTTTAACTAAGGTAGAAAGTTCGTTACTGAAATGTGCGTTTGTTTTGAGGTCAGTCTTTGCGTTAATAGTAGTAAGTGACTATTATTTCTTTCCATAAGACGCATTTAGTCTTTCAGTAGTCTTCTTCCTGATCATGCTGCTGACGCTTTTAAACCCCCGGAGGAACCTTACGCTGGATGGGTGGATAAGATTACCCGAATATTCTTTCAGGGGTTTTGCAAATGGGATTGCATTTATTTTACTTTCATCGCAAACTACGGTTATATCTTTGAAAATAGCCTTGTCTTTCTCCCTGGTTTTCCCATGTTAATAGGCTTATTAGGTCGTTTGGCTTTAAGAGTTAGTGTACATTCTCTGAGTTTATCTTCTTCAATCCTTTTATGTGGATTCTTGTCAAACTTTGTTTTAAATCTAGCCTCTGCAGTTTTTTTATACCGCCTAGGAGTTATGATACTGGGTTCTGTAAAAGTTAGTTTTCTTGCTTCGTTACTATTTTGTTGTAATCCAGCTACAGTGTTCTTTTCATCACTTTACTCTGAGTCATTGTTTTTCTTTTTTACCGTTTCTGGGTTATATTTTATGTATGTCAACAAGATCTTATTGTCTTCTTTGTTAATCGCGTTTTCTGTTATGTGCAGAAGCAATGGGTTGCTAAATATAGGATATTTAGGTTACTTCATGGTCGTTCGTTCAAACTTCCGGGTGCTAATATGGATAGATGAAGTTCAAAAAACCAGAAAGTCCTTCATATCTTTCTTGCTCTTGTCCATCAAGTGGTGGGTCAACGTTGTTGTTTTCTTCATGCCACGCCTTGTGTTACTCTTTTTATGCTCTCTCCCTTTTTTATTGTATCAAACCTACGGTTACTTTTTATATTGTTCTCGCGTGCAATCGTCTCACACTGTATTTCCGTCAAAAATTCCTGTACCACTGCTTACCTATGGCCTGGATCATGGCTTATCAATACCAGTTCGCCTTACAAACCAATCTAGTTCTTCTCACTTACCAGTTTGGTGTTCGTTTGCACCGCCATTCTCATATTCTCATATACAAAAGAGTCAGTGGAATGTTGGGCTGTGGGGATATTACCAGCTACGGCAAATTCCAAATTTTATTCTGTCCTTACCCGTAGTTACTTTATGCTTTATATGTGCGATTATGTTTTACCGAAGAGCTCCAAAAGCATATAGAACCTTTGGGCTATGTGCAGAATGCGAAATGGACCGTATCATGGTGCCGTATGTGTTTCATATGCTGTTTTTGTGCTCTTACGGGGTTCTCCACATAAATGTTCAAGTGAGTTGTGCTTTTAATTTAAATTTTTTTACACACATCTTGACATTTGGCATCACAATATTTGTGATTGTTTTGGTTATTTATCTAATTCAGTTATTTAAACATTTACTATATGTTCTTTAATGCGGATAGAATTTTTCGCCAAGCATTCGTAACTTGATATTGAATGAGATTCGCAAATATCATTCCGCTCATTACTTCCAGCGGAAATTTTTGTGGGTAGCTGATTATTCTTACCAATGCGGCTCATTTGACAGTCATAAAGTTACTCGAGTTTTATAATTAAGTAAACAATGTTATGCGCTTGTTATCGAAGTATTTTATGATTTCGAAATATGTTAGAGTACTTACTGGCAAGTAAATTCTTACCGAAGAGTACTTTTAGTTATTTAAGTTTGTTTAATTATATCACTTGACCTAATGAATTAACAGAAGTTGTGCTACCGAAACTAGTAATTCATTGTGTCTAGTAGATTCAGTACTCTGGAGGTGATTGGGCTTTATATTATGGTTATTAGTCAGTTAAGACGAAATATCGAACAATTGGTTCTATATTTTCTGCCTTAGAGTTCAAACTTCGCACCAACTATCTTTCAGATGTCTATATAACACTAAGGCTAGTGATGTTAATAGCTCATATTCTAGTGCATTGATTGGAGTTAGACATCAACACCGTTGGATGCCCGCTCAGTGGCCTAGTGAATAAGCGTTTGCGTGCGAAACTGAAGGTTTTTGGTTTGATTGTCACATGCAAGGTCGTGGATACCCGCTAGTGAGGAGTCCAACTGCGAATCACGATCATTTTGTAAACCAAAACCAAGGACCTTACACCTTTATACTTAGCTCAAAATGACAGATATAAACTCTGTGAACATGTATCGGGTCTTAGTTTGCATGCTTTTGGCTGTTATTCAGCTCCATGTTATACTAATCAGCTCATCGCATTATGGCAGATGCTGGGTGGTTATTTGTGACATATCAACCTTCCTGGTCGATGAGGTTCAAAATCACAGTAACCTGTTTACCATAACTGCTTAGTTCTTAAGACCTACTCTCGATTTTACTAACTAATTGGTTTCACTATACACATAAAGAGGTTTCAAGGCACTTATGATCAAAACCTCCCGACTGTAGCTGCTACCTTGATGTGGTGTTCGGGCTTGCCTATTGTGATGACCCAATCGAGCTATATTGGCTGGAACATGTGTTCCTGTAGGTTCTACCATACCAGGCAGGTCGATTAAAAAACGGTAAGACTGATAGGGAGTGAAGTAGTTGAGCGTGTCGACCGCTTCACTTACTTTGGGAGTCTAGGGGTGGCCAGACCAAAACATGGTACAAATCTATGAAGCCACTGACAAGTGGACTGAGCCATTTTGGTAGGTTTAGAATACCTGGTTGGGATCCGCAAGACGATAGCAACCGATGGTTATAGACCTTGAATGACATGGCTCAAAATCGTTTGCAATGGCGCAGGTGCATCCACTCTTTGTGTTCTTCCAAATTCTAATCTTCTGAATTCTTCATGTCCCTTTCTTTTTTCCTCTTTCCAAATTTATTTCACTGGATTATACTCTTTAAGTAACATCTTCAAACCCTAATCTTTCTGATTATTGCTTATACTTTTACTACCTCTACCACTATGGGATTTGAGTCGGCGACTGCATCTCTGTGCTAATGTGGTATGGCAACTTGAACTGATGTATGTACGTACGAAGTTCTACGTTGTTACTGATTGACTGATGATCAAAACCTAACAACCTGTACCATGTACCCTTGCCGTCGTAGACCAATAGTGGGCGAGCTGTTGTTCAGTATAACGACTTTGACAGTCAGTTAAGTATCTCATCCTCCCTTCAGGTAATGCAAATCGACAAAACCCGAGCGTGGTAAGATTTTGTCAGCTGCTAACCCATCGAAGCTGATAGGATGAAATGGTTAAAGTGTTTAGTATGTTCCATTCCGCTACCCGAAATAAAGGTAACGGTTATTTTGTTTATTTATTTTTAACCATAATCCTTAACTGGAAAGTGCAATTAGTTGGTCAGGTCACTTGTAAAGCGTATATAAGTGATTATATTTACTTGTACACATATCAACCAAATAGTTTTTCACTACTTTCATTGAATGATTCACATTCACAACTCCTATGTATTCATTCTCACTTATTTTTCTGTTTCATAGGTGTTAACACGTATGATATTTTCATCCTGTCCTGTTATCTATTGGTTTTGTGCATATCTTCTTTGTGAAACGTTGCCTAATTTCGAGCCATTAATAATGAATAAACACAATAGTAATTCTCTGATCAATATTAGATTTGAATTGTATCATTATTTAGTAGATATTTATAAAGCATTAAATCCTTTTCAATATCATTTAGTAAAACATCGTATTGTGCTTTGTTATTTCTTAAGTTATGCTATTATAGGCTGTATTTTACATCCTAATTTTTTACCATGGACATAGTACCCCCCCTTTTTTTTCTCTTTTTGTGTTTTCTAATAAGATTAATCATTATAATAACTAAAATGGTTTATAATTTGATTTTTAAAAATTTTAATTAACCAGTATCTTGTGGTCAATTGTTAGATTTCTCCTGTAGATTGGTAAGACAATTTGTTTATATTTAGTGTCTATTTACTGTCAAATGGTACATGGTGTATTGTGTATGTATGTATGTATGTATATGTGTGTTTGTGTGAGTTGGCAACCTTTTCTTTCTTGTATCAGATTGGATTTTTATTATTAACCGATTACATAACGTTGTCTTCAAATCTGTTATATCTTTTACTCCTGTTGATCTTCTAATTCTATTGTTTTAAAGAAAATATTGTTAAACTGAACAATAGCCATTCAGTCAGTCAGTAAGTCAGTAACAATGTAAAACTTCGTACGTACGTACATCAGTCCGAGTTGCCACACCACAATAGCCATTCATTTGGTACTGATGATTTTTATTTTCAACTATAAAACTTATGGATTAGTGTAATGCTTTGATAAAGAACTAATTGAAGAGAAATATTTCTTCACTGAACTTGTGTTTTTGATAGTTAAGATTGATTGATAGTTCTATGCTGGAGATAATGCTAAGAATCCAGAATAGAGGAGGTGATGTTACGGTTGTTAATAGTCAGATTTCCAGAAAGAATTATGGAATTGTGATGAAGATAGTAAATTATTCTATATTTAGAACTCAAATTAAATCAGTATTTGAACACTAATAAGACTATATAAGCGTGAAAACTTAAAAGGGTTATTCGATTACAATCATAATCACCATAGCAAGTGAAAGGTTCACCGCCTTATTAATTATTTTGAATGTATGGCTAAATTTGATTTTGTGTCCATCAAGACCCTGACGATTGAACTTGTTTAGAGTTTACTAACTTTCAGACAGGTCCCTTGGAATGTGTTTAAGCTTCTACCGAAGTTTACGAACACGTATCTTTATAATCAAATGATCTTTTTAAGTTTTCTGTCTTGCATGATATTGTTGATGCTCAAATATAAATTCGACATGTTCCAACTACACAATTGTATAATAATTTACTATTTCCACTACAACTGTATAGTCTTTTTATAAAAAGTCTGATTATTAGAAACTATGGCACTACCCCCTTTATTTTGTATTATTATTGTTATTACTATTAACATGTAGATATTCGTTAACCTTAACTATGTTCAATCAAATATATCATATCTTGTTCTTTTACCTATGAATTTTGGTTCTGTTTTGAATATTCATCTACACTTCCCTGTCTACAGTATGTTAAGCCACCATTATAATCATATTACTCCTTGTAGCGAGAAGCCAGGAAGTAAAATGGGTTCATTTTATTCTGCAGATTTTATTTGTGCACTGTTTAACAAAATATTGACTAGTTAAATGATTTCCCTACTCACATATTTAAATTGTTTCAACATAAGGTCACTCTTTTCACTTCTGACTGATCGGATGATGTAGACAGTTTTTAATGTATAATACCCAATAATTCTTGGTGTTGCACCGCTTCCCCACAGGTCTATTAATTTCGATAGTTATCCACACTACCAGCCAGTCATAGGCAACATTGAACCAAGCACATATACATCGGTCTTTTTTTACACTACATCATCAAAGCACGACAAATTTATCAAGATAAATGCCAGAGTTTTAGAAGGAATAAGAAACACTAGACGTAAGCAATATAATGCTTGGAGGAAGAATGATTTCTCGACACAAAAATAAGAAGTATTTTAAGACAGTGATACCATACACACCATTGTGACTGGTTCTGAACCATTTCATCCAACGTTTCGAACCACTGATTACAAGGACCTCATCCAAATAACCTGCACCTACCAACACGACTCTATTCAACAGTTAATGACTTGATGGACTAGTATCATTTCTTAGTATATCTGCCCCTAGCTTTGTTCCGACGTTATCCTTTACCAACTATGACCGCATTTCGAGGCAAAACTTTTCAACAAACGTTGTACTTTTGTATCCCAATAAGTTATATGTATGAAACAGTGAGTTATTTAAATTTTTAGTTCTTTTTAGCATTCGCGATATGTTTTCCGAAAAGAAGTGGTATAATATTATGACTAATAAGTGTGTGAACTGAACTACTAAATGCTTTTGGGGAGAAATACAAGAAGTTGATCAAATATTGAGAGGTGTTTATGATGGTTACATACTAGATCAGACATTTCAGTGGAGGTCGTGAAGATTAACATGATTAAAGACCAGGATGACAGTCGATCGTCTGTGTTTGTGATAATAAGTTTGTCATACTTTCTGTTTGCCGTATAATTGTGTGAATATTTGATAATGAACTAGGTGTGAGGAAATCGTATTTGTATGACAGTTACAGGAAAAAATGAGGCAGCTGAAAATGGCGATTTGATAAGTATACTGCCGTTTAATGGGGAATTTGGAAGTCGATAAAATTAATATCTCTAAAATTACGATCTAACTTCTTATTTAACTTAACAGAATACATACTGCCATATGATAATTTTTAATTGATTTGTATAGAAATGATAATTGAACTTGAGCCTTTACCTGAATTCTATACAGATTTAAACTAGCTGTCACAAATGACCGTTTTTTCTTGCTAATTAGTGTGGTCACATCAGTTAACGAATATTATGTTCCATTATTATGCCATCCAGAGACTTAAATCAGTCAATGTTTTATCATTTTAACTAACCCCGTTAAGTATTTTGACTTGTAAATTATTTCCTTATTAACAATCAATATTTGCATTCATTCCTGTCGGTGTTAAGAGGTTGACAGTCTTGTCGAATATTTTACGTTCACTTGGCCTTTATTTGGTAACTATGCTAACCAACTGTCTGTAAACCTACTTTCTATATTTACCATGAAATGATTAAGTGAACTTCAGGAAGTAACAAATCAACCATTCGTTGAATAAACTTTGATTTTCGTCATATATATCAGTCTATCATGTATACACGTATGTGTAGAATGATTACGTTATATGCAAATAAGCTGGTTATACAATAATTTAGGGTTAATAAATTTGCTTAAAAAGTCTAATTCATCAGTATTGATAATTCAGTACATATAAATGACCAATAGTATTTACTGGACATCTTCAGTAGGTCGAAACCATCAATTTTTAAAATCTAAATTACAATATGTCAAATATGAGTAGTATAAACCTATATCTAGTTTAATTATTTATTAATAGAAGATAAACACCAGGTAAATTTGGCTGACGAGTCCCAAGTGGGACGAAATGCGCGTCCTGGATTCCACTTACTTACTCCTGTTACTCCTCGTGAAGGAGCATAGGCCGCTCACCAGCATTCTCCATCCAACCCTGTCCTGGGCAATCCTTTCCAAATCCTTCCAGTTGTTATTCATCTTTTTCATATCTGCTTCTATTTCCCGACGTGTGTTCTTTGGCCTTCCTCTTTTCCGCTTCCCTTCAGGATTCCAATTTGGACTTGCCTCGTGATGCAGTTTGACGATTTGCGTAATGTATGTCGCATCCATTTCCATCCTCATTCCAAACATTTCCTCTTCATCTGGAAGCTGGTTTATTCTCCCCCTACAGTAGGTTGTTATTGATGGTATCCGGCCAATGGATGTTGAGTATATTGCGTAGACAACTATTTATAAATATTGAACCTTTTTGATGATGGTCGTAGTAGTTCTCCAAGTTTCAGCTCTGTCTAGATTCTATTGCTAGTCACTAAACCATCTTTGCTTATAATGTTTGTGAATTAAAGCAATATCGAGGCAATCCACACAGGATGTATATATGCCAACATGAGACTGATCAAATGCAGTTCTAAACATCAATGAAAGGATTCAAACAAACAATACCAAATGAATTTAAAGAAAAACATTGTTTTAAAAAATCAATGATCTTTTTCTTATATATATATATATATTCTTATTCAATTATGCTCATAGTATCTATCCTCTCGTCTCCTGTCCTCTCCTCTTCTCTACACAACAACCACCTCCACCCTCACTTTTCAAAATACATAAATGAAACAAGCAATCTTAATTGATCATTACAATAAGCGATAATAATTAAGATAAGATTTCAATAAAATCTTATTATTTTTTGTTTGTTGTTGTTTCTTTTTTTAACGGATACACAAATTCATTTTCAATGTAAATAATTAAAATGTATATGAATTAGAATAGAAATAAATTCTGATTGGAATCTTTATCTACTCTCTCTCTCTCTCTCTCTCTCTATATGCTCCTTATCTTTACATATTTACTTTTATATTTCAATAAAAAATAGTTGGATTTATAATTATTACTACTCATGAGTAGTATTGAAATAAAGCATGTAATATTTGTATTGTAGTGTATAAATTATAATAGAATCATGTTTACAGTATATTCTGTATTTATAACAAAAAAAAATTGTTCATTGATCATTTAATTGTAAAAGAGAAAACAAACAAACTGAAAACAATCCAACAATCTAACTTAATATTGGTAATAGTTTGGTAGTTTTTCACTTGGAACAAAAACAAAAGAAGAAGAAACAGGAAAAAGAGTGCTTGTCAACAACTTTGTAAATGAAACTAAATTATAGAAAAAAGTTTAAAAGAAAACGAAAAAAAGACAACGAAATGATGAGAGTTAAGTCATAATTAGAAGAAGAGAAAGGAAAAGGAGAAAAAAAAAGAGAAAAACAAATCTGACCAATACAAAATGAAATTCAATTTATAATTAAATGCATCAAATGTGAAAAAAAGATTTTTATATATGTAGATGTATAATGTTTAATTATGTATATAGAAGAATGTTGAATATTCCTCGAATCTATTTATTCACATGTACTTTCCGTAGATACTAATCTCCCCTCTCTCTCCGTATATATATATATATATATATATATATATATATATATATATATATATACTATAGAATAGAATAGGATAGAGGTCCTTCCCTTCTGCCAATTTTTCATATAATCTGAATGAATTAAGTGTACAATGTTTACATTGTTATTATAGTATGATTATTTAACATTTCATGCATAATGCAGGGAAGGGGGGTCGAGGGGTAGGGATAAGGGAGAAATTAATCAGTCAGTTATTCTAATTGTTTACAAATACTGATATCTGGAGTTTAACAAATTGCTTTTGAACAATTTGAATACTCTCTTATTATGCTAATATCACAAATGTATAATAATAATTCTTTTCTTTGATAAGTTTGTTTATTCTGCTCTGTAATAGGAAATCTATTATGAATCATATAGGTGATATATATATAATATATATATATATAAAAGGGGTATTTAAATCCAATGAATATAATAATCATTTTAATATTCAAATGTTTTGGATAATCATATAAACCGGAAGTTTATTTCTTCCATGCTTGATTAAGACGATTTTTAATTTTTGATAAATTTCCTGATGATGAATTACTATAAGTTGGTAGTGTTCTTGTGATTGTTGTTGTTGTTGTTGTAGTTAAACTATTTATACTACTATCAATAATATTCGTAAAATGAGTAGTATGAGTGTTAGTAGTAGTAGTAGAAGAAGAAGAAGCAGCAGTAGTAGTTATTGTTGTAATGATACTAGGTGACATAATTGTTGTTGTTGTTGTTGTGCTTTCATTGGGTGATAATCTAGATTTTTGTTTAATATCTGTGGAGAATTTATATGAATAAAGATTTTTCACACGATTTGATTTGATTAAAGTTGTTTCATTCGAAGCAGATTCAGATTGATTTATACAGGAACTTTCTAATAAAGGTGATAATGAACTATTTAATATTGTTGTATTATTATTCATAAGATTTGGCATTTCATCATCATCATTCATTATTCTTAATGATTGATCTAATGAAGTTTGATGATTTTGTATTAGATGATCTTGAATTATTGGCTTATTTGTTAAAGGAATTTCTATACTTAATTCATTGGTTAATTGATCTTTATCGGAATAAGTTGGTGAAGAATGTGAATCAGTTAGATTAGTTATATTGGATTTGATTAATAGACCAGTAGATTGACTAGATTCTTTTGCTTGTTTTATCCATTCATTTGATTCATTTAATAATAATGTCATTAGTTCAGTTTGTCCTGTTAATAAACGTAAATTCCATGTTACATTATCAGCTACACGTGACATACGTCGCCAATAGATTGAGGTACCACTAGTAGTTGTTTTATTATTTCGATTATCTGTATTATCTTCTATAATTTGTGGAGTTACA